GCTACAGATATAAGTTCAGTTTGAAAATAGAAAAAAACTCACGCTTCAAGTTTAGTGTTTTCTGCCCCCAAAAGTATTTGAACAAAAATAAAACACATAATCGCCACATTACTCTCTGCTCCAAAGCGTACCAGGGGAAAGAAAAGCTTACCAAACATAAAATACAGCCTCTCATAAGAATACATGGAATGTTTCCTCTCGCTTCTTTCTCATATCTCGGTCATCAGCATGAGGGAGAAGGTGGATAATGAGAATAAGTAAAAAGAAGTTCTTTTATTTCATGAACAAGCACGATTTTCGCATTGTTAAAATTTTCTCGGATTGATCTCTACTTGCTGCCTGTATACTGAGAAATTTTCATCCTTTTGTTTTTGTACTATGTGTTGATATAGAAAAGACAGAACTATCATTTATTTTCGAAAATTTTTCTCTTTCTCTGTTTCCACACAATGTGAGCATTTATAAGAATAAATATCCTACAACGACATATCATGGATTTAGTTAATCCGATCATTGAGATTTGTATCACAGCACGTATGATTGTTTTCTGTTGAGAAAATACTCTCTTATTCTATTTGAAAGAGCAAGTTACAGAATGTCAAATAGTTAATTACTGAGGACAGACGTTGAGTAGAAGAAACCTTAGGGTAATGACATTATCTCGTTATTTCTTTGTATTACTATGTTTATTCAACCAGCTATGTAAGTTTTGAACCTTTTAAATATAAATAATTGACTAAATGAATACTTATTTTGTATAAGTGTGCGATATCCATCATCGACGTTTACTCCAACGCATTTTTGAAGAACATGCATATGATTTGTTAGAACGTCCGGTTAACAATGCCAGTGACACGATTAATGTCACAATTAATTTAGCTTTACAACAGATCATCGATCTCGTATGTACTGTTAACTGCTCATTTTGCTAGAACAAATATTTTGAGACGAAGGATATTCAATTTGTAATATTTAGGATGAGAAAAATGAAATAATTATAATCAGTGGTTGGCTTGTACTAGTAGGTTTTATTTTTAATACCCGACATAAGATATGGTACCTCGACATCTACTTTTCTTGTCTAAGAGTTGGTATGATTACGCGCTAACATGGACGCCAGATAGATTTGGAAATATAACTACGATTAATTTGCCCAGCGTCAAAGTTTGGACACCGGACATTCTACTCTATAACAGGTAAGTTTGTTCTCTATGTTTTTAAAACAGAAGACAACACGATGTAGACATATTTACGCAATGGAAACTTGTTTTATATATTACTGAAGTGCTGATGCAAATTTCGATCCCACAATAAAAACAAATGTGGTTGTTCAACATACGGGAACTGTTCTCTTTGTTCCGCCAGGGGTATTTAAAGCCACATGTAGAGTTGATATCGCCCGTTTTCCGTTTGGTAAGTTCAACTATGTTATTGTGAAAGAAGTAAATTGAATCTGCACTCGTTAATTCAGACACGCAGGATTGCATTTTGAAATTTGGTTCATGGTCATTTAGTGAATTAGGTAGATTGACATAAAACAGGCGAATAAAATATACTTTTAATAATCTGTTTGTGAGGTGTCAATTTAACAATCGAAAGTAATGAAGGTCAATTAGACGCGTATATGGAAAATGGTGAATGGCATCTTAACGGCAAGTGCCTCTCTTTTTATATTAAGTTTTGTTAATTATCAGTATTATTCTTCTCATAGCTTTTAAAGCTGTTCGTAAATCAAAAAAGTATGATTGTTGTCCGGAAATATATCCCTATGTACTTTATACAATTGAAATTCGGCGGCGAACACTCTACTACCTCATTAATATTATTGTACCATGCCTTATTCTGTCATTCATTACCATATTGGGCTTTGTATTACCACCTGACAGTGGCGAAAAATTAACATTACGTAAGTCGAGCAATGACGAATAGATTGAGCAATAAAAACGCTTTTCTCTTGATTAGAAATCACTACTCTACTCTCTATTGTCATGTTCTCATTGTTAATATCTGGCATCATACCAGCAAGCTCATTTGCAGTACCCACAATAGGTGAGTCTCATTCTTTTAATGACTACATGAGTCTTTGAGTTTTTCTAAACTAGGTTTATACTTTGTTTCGGTAATGGTTGTCTGCTCGTTATCGGTTGTGGCCACAGTGTTAGTTTTAACACTTCATCATCGAAATGCAAAAAGTCACATCATGCCGTATTGGGTAAGTCAAATAAGCTGATAGTTGAGGAGGGTTGTTTCTACGGAAGTATTTGCTGATACATACATATTTGTGCAGATCCGTCGATATATTTGCTGCTATTTGGCTTGGCTATTGAGAATGAGACGTCCGAATCAGGATTTATCGTGGGAAGCCGTTAGTAGTTCAATCAATTTGAACACTAATAAACCACCGCCAATCGCAAATGATAAGAAGGAAGCGGAGTCGTTGATGATGGTGAATGACAACTACCATGAATTGAGCATTGAACGACGTTTACTATCAGCACAATTTGAAGCGATGAATCTTCAACTGAAAGTTATTGTCAAAGAATTGTGTGTGATAACAGATAACATTCATCAACAGGAGAAAAGTGATAATACATCAGCTGATTGGAAGTTTGCCGCTATGGTACTTGATCGTCTGTGTCTCTGGTTGTTCAGTATTCTAACAATTGTTTTCACTTGTGCAATTTTATTTACATCACGAAACATTTTCAAACTTTACTAGATTCGATTATGCCTCTTGCTTGCAGAAGTGTAACCAAGTTTCGGAATAAAAACGTTCATGTTATGGCGCCGGCCATCTTGTCTATGTCCATAAGCATAAAATGTTTTTAGACGCTAGACTTTTAATCTCTGGGATAATGATTCATCGTTGATACACGCTACACTTTTAACTTTTGCACGGGATAATGAAAGCAGAATGACTGCAGATTCAGGACAGAGTAGAACTTCTGGTTAGTATGTGAACAAGGGAAAGCATCATGCCAGTGAGATGTGTAACGAAAGTAGCTCCAGCTCATGGTAAGTGATCATTAAGAAAAAACTGCCTCGGTCAGAA